ATGTGTAGGTTAAGAGTTAGGCTTTTCCAAAATAAAAAGAAGGAAGAACAAGAAGGAGGAACAAGAAGGAGGGAGAAGAGGAAAAAAGAAGAAAAAAGAAGGAAAAATAAGAAAAAAGAAGGGAAAGAAAAAGGAAAAAAGAAGAAAAATAAAGGAAAAAAGAAGGAAAGAAAGGAAAAAAGAAGAAAAAGAATGTAAAAAAGAAGAAGAAGAAAAGAAAAAAGAAGAAAAAGGAAAAGAAAATTTAAAGAAATAAAATTTAAAATAAAAGCTGGGGGGCATGGGCGGGGAAATCCAGAAGGATGGGAAAGGCAAGAACTGGAATTACGGTTGTGCTGTCAGACCCGTCACACAGGACCTGAGGAGGACCCAGGGGAGCCCAGGGCTCTGCCCCGGTCCTGCCGTTCAGCGCTGATACAGGAGCAAGGATCCAAAAAATCGAGATTTCTGGAAAGTGAGCAAGAATAGGGCATCCACGGGGAAAAATCCCTCTGCGTTACGGCTTATGGAGAAAAGCCATTTATTTCTGGACACAGCGGACTGTGTCTCGCTCAAGCCCTCATGGCAGCGGTGAAATGATGGTCGGACTGTGCCACCTAGCTTCAAAACTCAGACACGAGTTGCCACGCTGTGTTTTCAGCCCCACACACTGAAGCCACACGTGTCCAGGGACAGCAAAAACACTCTCAGATTGGAGCTGGAAACGCGTACCCTGCCCCAAGCCTCCCCCTGGCACAGGGGTGGGTGGATGGATGGATGGATGGATGGAGGGATGGATGGATGGATGGATGGATCAGACCATTTCCTCTGGTCCTGTCAGTCTGGGTCAGACTCAGCCCAGAGTCACTCTTGGAGAAACATCCCACCTGAGCGTCCCTGTTATGGTTTGAGGAACCCACAACAGTTTTTGTCATTTAGAGATTTATTCTCTCACCCAAAGACCTTCCCTCGCTCAGGAAGGGGAATGGGGAAAAACAAGGAAACCCGAGGGTTGTCATTTAGAGATTTATTCTCTCACCCAAAGACCTCCCCTCACTCGGGAAGGGGAATGGGGAAAAACAAGGAAACCCGAGGGTTGAAATATCACAGAATCGTAGTGGTTGGAAGGGACCTCAGAGATCATCGAGTCCAACCACCAGCTGCTGCCCTGTCCCAGCACACCTCACAGCACCCAGAGTTTCCCAGTTGGACAACTGAACTCCATGGCAGCTTGTGGAAGGGTGAGGAGCCCCATCCTGACCCGGGTGATGGGGATCCACCTTGCTGGGCCTGGCCCCCACCTCAAGAGCAGGGAAAACAGCCTGCACCTGAGCGTCCCTGTTATGGTTTGAGGAACCCACAACAGTTTTTGTCATTTAGAGATTTATTCTCTCACCCAAAGACCTCCCCTCACTCGGGAAGGGGAATGGGGAAAAACAAGGAAACCCGAGGGTTGAAATATCACAGAATCGTAGTGGTTGGAAGGGACCTCAGAGATCATCGAGTCCAACCACCAGCTGCTGCCCTGTCCCAGCACACCTCACAGCACCCAGAGTTTCCCAGTTGGACAACTGAACTCCATGGCAGCTTGTGGAAGGGTGAGGAGCCCCATCCTGACCCGGGTGATGGGGATCCACCTTGCTGGGCCTGGCCCCCACCTCAAGAGCAGGGAAAACAGCCTGAAGACCACCCCCAGCCTGGTCCCAATAAGGCAGGTCTCAGGGAGTCAGAGCCCACCTCTGCACGCCGAGGGTCACCACACGGCACAGGATTTCACCACATTTCTCCTGCCTCAGCTCACCAGCAGGAATTACACCTTTTTTTTTTTTTTTCCTGTTGTTATGGTTTGAGAAAACCCATAACAATCTATTGTTGTTTAGACAATTATTCTATCACCTAATGACCCCTCCCCACCCAGAAAGGGGAATCGGGGAACACAAGGAAAACACAAGGGTTGAAATATAAATAGATTTAATAGACTAAAACTAAATAGTTAACAACAATACTAAAGAACCAGTATTAATCCCGATACTGATATAAGATACAGGAATTATACTCAGACAGTTGTATCAGTAGGAAGCTGTGCACTCCCAGCAGGGACAGCAAATGGCGGACACTGCCAGCGCAATGGCTTCAGGAGGAAGGGAAGGCCTCAGGGCTCCGGCACCGGGGCAAGGAGTTGTCTGGACCCGCCGCCATCAAGGGAGAGCCCCCTACGCAGCAAATTTTCCTAATTTATATTGAATGTGACGTTCATGGTATGAAATAATCCTGTTTGCCAGCCTGGGTCAAATGCCCAGGCCTTGCTCCTCCTCGTCCCTGCACCTGGCAAGGCTCAAAAACACTAAGGCCTTGAATCCCACAGAGCCTGGCTGGCTATAAAGTAAATATTTTCACAAATTCAGACACTAGAGTCTTCTAGAAGTGCAATTTTCCCCAGTATTAGAAGAAAAGTTAGTCCTGTGTCTCTCAACCCAGGACACCTATCTAAGCATGTCAGGCAGCTTCATTTTTAGAGCACAAGGATGAGTTTAAAAGCCAGTGTTTTACCCAAAGCCTCGCAAATTCCTCCCGGAGCCTCCGACAATCGTAGATTTTATCTGCTGCATAATCCAATGCAATTTAGTGCTTGTTTTTTCCAACAGCCCAAATCCCCCGTAAACTCTATTCCAGCAATTAGAGGTTCGTCTCTCCGAAAGCTAAAGCATCACCATCTTTCACTTGGCTCCAGACAGGCAGCGTTATTTCCCTACAGGAAAACACACATCAGCTGTTTGCTATCCCGTTTGTTACGGATACAAAGCTCTTGAGGAATATTTTGATTTTACCTGATCTTGGCGGGGGAATCAGCAGCTCTTTATAAATTGCTTTGTTTCTGAGTAAGTTTGAGCTTTGCACCCATGCGCCTTCAGAGCCCGTAACCGCCAGCTCCAGGAAGAAACAAAATGCAATTTTCACCGCGAGCTGGGGAAATTCGAGGTTTTGGCACCTCGTTTTTATCGTGTATCGGGCAATAAATACCCCGTTAAGGCAGCAATGAGGTAAAAAGGCATCAGGGTCTGCACTGCACCAGCTTCCCAACAGACTGAAAAGATGGGAGCAACAGGACAGGGAAAAGGCAAGGATATTTAAAGCCTTTACAAAATTACAAGGTATTGTAATGTGCACACAGTAATTCAAAAGCATATTTTAGCTTTGTTTTTAAATAAATAGCTTTCTTTGTTCCACTGCTATCCCTGGCTATTTGGTACAGAGACATTTGGGTTTTTTAATTATTGTTATTAGGCAGTTCTTAAGAGGTATATGAAAAGAGCGTGGAATAAAAATCACTTCCATTCCCTCCATTTCATGTAAAAATCTCTTCCATTCCCTCCATTTCATGTTCCTGCCCAGTTATCCTTGAACATAGAGCCCAGTGCCAGACTGGCAAGGGTTGGAAGGGACCTCTGGGGATCATCTCCTCCAACCCCCTGTCAAAGCAGGTCCACCCAGAGCAGGTCCCACAGGAACGTGTCCAGGAGGGTTTGTTTTTAATTATCGTTATTAAGCAGCTCTTAAGAGGTATATGAAAAGAGTGTGGAATAAAAATCACTTCCATTCCCTCCATTTCATGTTCCTGCCTAGTTATCCTTGAACATAGAGCCCAGTGCCAGACTGACAAGGGTTGGAAGTGACCTCTGGAGATCATCTCCTCCAATCCCCTGCCAGAGCAGGTCCACCCAGAGCAGGTCCCACAGGAACGCGTCCAGGTGGGGTTGAAGATCTCCAGAGAAGGAGACTCCACCACCTCTCTGGGCAGCCTCTGCCAGGGCTCTGCCACCCTCACAGGAAAGAAGACGCTCTTCACGTTGAGATGGAACTTCTAATGTCCCAGTCTGTGCCCGTTGCCCCTTTTCCTGTCACCAGGCTCCACTGAGAAGAGTTGGCCTCCTCCTATGACACCCACCCAGCATTGATGAGGTCTCCTCTCAGTCTGCTCTTCTGCAGGCTGAACAGCCCCAGGTCTCTCAGCCTTTCCTCAGCAGAGATGCTCCAGGCCCCTCATCATCTTTGTAGCCTCCAGTGCTCCAGGTGTGGCCTCCCCAGGACAGAGCAGAGGGGCAGGATGACCTCCCTCCATCTCCTGGTCACACTCTTCTTGATGCACCCCAAGAGACCACTGGCCACCTTGGCCACAAGGGGACATCCCTGGCTCATGAAGAGCTTAATGGAGTTCTACCAGCTCCTCTGCAGCCTTCTGGGCCACCACCCTCAATTAAGACACTTCTCCCTTCTATCTAGTCTGAATTCACTCTCTTTTAGTTTAAAAATATTTTTATTTTCTGGCCAATATACCTGCAGATATAAAATGTGAGGTACAGTTCTGCACCACACACATGCTGTAACATCCTCATTTTCTACATCATGCTGTCCTCAGGCAGCACCCACCCCTCTGAAAGGCCCACTGCGAGGGGGTGGAAGCCCCGCAGCCATTAGAACTTCTACAAAAGGCAAACGCACACACGTGAGTTGGGCAGGGAGATTATTTATTGACCATAGCTGTGCCGAGATGCCATCGACGTGTGAGGGAAGCCCTGGGAGCTTCTGGTGACAGCCTCACCCTCCCGACACTCAGTCCAGCTGCAAGAGAAGGAGAAAGGCGAGATGTATCAGCAGGAAATGGCACACCCACCCCTCCCGCAAGGCCCCGGCCCTCGGGCCACCACCCTCAATTAAGACACTTCTCCCTTCTATCTAGTCTGAATTCAGGAGTCCAACCTTATACACACACACAAAACCCCTACAATCTCAGGCACTAGAGCATTCTCTTTTAGTTTAAAAATATTTTTATTTTCTGGCCAATATACCTGCAGATATAAAATGTGAGGTACAGTTCTGCACCACACACATGCTGTAACATCCCCATTTTCTACGTCATGCTGTCCCCAGGCAGCACCCACCCCTCTGAAAGGCCCACTGCGAGGGGGTGGAAGCCCCGCAGCCATTAGAACTTCTACAAAAGGCAAACGCGCACACGTGAGTTGGGCAGGGAGATTATTTATTGACCATAGCTGTGCCGAGATGCCATCGACGTGTGAGGGAAGCCCTGGGAGCTTCTGGTGACAGCCTCACCCTCCCGACACTCAGTCCAGCTGCAAGAGAAGGAGAAAGGCGAGATGTATCAGCAGGAAATGGCACACCCACCCCTCCCGCAAGGCCCCGGCCCTGGCCCTCACAGAATTGTCATGGTTGGAAAAGACCTCTGAGACCACAGAGTCCAACCTCACACACGCACATAAAACCCCTACAATCTCAGGCACTAGAGCATGCCCTGAAGAGCCATGTCTACACGTTTCTTAAATACCTCCACGGATGTGACTCCACCATCTCCCTGGGCAGGCCGTTCCAGTGCCTGGCCACTCTTTCAGTAAATTCTTCCTAATAATATATAATCTAAACCCACCCTGCCGCAACTTCCGGATGGTGACTCCTCCATCTCCCTGGGCAGGCTGTTCCAGCGCCTGGCCACTCTTTCAGTAAACTCTTCCTAATAACATATAATCTAAACCCACCCTGCCGCAACTTCAGACCATTTCCTCTGGTCCTGTCATTACTCCCTTGGGAGAAGAGGCCAACCCCCACCTCTACACCCTCCTTTGAGTGAATTGCAGAGGGCAACGAGGTCTCCCCCTCGGCCTCCTCGCCTCCAAACTAAACAAGCCCCGTTCCCTCAGCCTCACCTTGATGAACCCGATATCCTTGGCGTACTGGCGGAAGCACTGCCGGCACATGTTCAGGCCGTACTTGCGGATGAGGCCGTGGCGGTTGGAAGAGTCCAACCTCACACACGCACATAAAACCCCTACAATCTCAGGCACTAGAGCATGCCCTGAAGAGCCATGTCTACACGTTTCTTAAATACCTCCACGGATGGTGACTCCACCACCTCCCTGGGCAGGGGGCAGGCTGTTCCAGCGCCTGGCCACTCTTTCAGTAAACTCTTCCTAATAACATATAATCTAAACCCACCCTGCCGCAACTTCAGACCATTTCCTCTGCTCCTGTCATTACTCCCTCGGGAGAAGGGGCCAACCCCCACCTCTCTACACCCTCCTTTCAGTGAGCTGCAGAGGGCAACGAGGTCTCCCCCTCGGCCTCCTCGCCTCCAAACTAAACAAGCCCCGTTCCCTCAGCCTCACCTTGATGAACCCGATATCCTTGGCGTACTGGCGGAAGCACTGCCGGCACATGTTCAGGCCGTACTTGCGGATGAGGCCGTGGCGGTTGGAGCACACGCGGCTGTGGGGGGGAAGGAGAGAAAGAGAGAGCAGGAGGCCTGTCAGGGCGGGTAATGGCGGCGCGGGGGGGCGGAAGGGAGAGGAAGGAGGGGGAGAGGAGGGACGGGGCGAACCCAGAGGGTAACGAGACAGCCCCGGGGGCGCGTACTGACCAGGAGCGGGAGCCCTGGCCGAATTTCCTGGGGTGGCTCCAGTAGAGCTGCTGGTGGCCCATGCTGCCTGCTTGCGTGCCCACACACGAGAGGAAGATGGCGGCCGGCGCATGCGCTCATCAACCCCCCCCCAACCGCGCCTCCCGTCCCGCCATGCACCGCGGCCCCCTCCCTCCGTGGGGAGGGACGGGTGGTGGTGACGTGACGGTGACGTCAGGGGCGGGAAGGGGAGTAGAGGCGGCGGCGCGCGGGGGGAGAGCGCCGGGCGCGGTGGCGCGCGCCTGTAGTCCCAGCTACTCGGGAGGTTGAGCCCGCCGGATCGCTTGAGCCCAGGAGTTCTGGGCTGCAGTGCGCTATGCCGAGCGGGCGTCCGCGCTAAGGCCGGCATCAATATGGTGAGCCCCGGGGAGCCGGGGCACACCAGGTTGACTAAGGAGGGGTGAACCGGCCCAGGTCGGAGACGGAGCAGGTCAAAGCTCCCGTGCCGGTCAGTAGCGGGATCGCGCCTGTGAATAGCCACTGCAGCGTAGCCTGGGCAACACAGAGAGACGCGGGCTCCTTTTGTCACCCGCCGCCGCAATAAAACCCTTATTTCCCTTATTTTTGCCGCCTCGTGGCCTCAGCCCCGCCCGCGCGCTACCGCCTCCTGCCGGCCGGGCCGTGCGCGCGCTCTTTCCCGCTTTTCCTCACCCCATCGCCTCAGCGCCCCCTGCCGGCCTCAACCCCACACTGAAGGGGAGGTAGTGTCTGCTCTCCCGGTTAGAACCACACGGGAACAACTTCTTTTCCCTTAATTTTACTTTTCGGTAAGGTCTTTTTCTAATCCTTGGGAAAATTGCACTTTTAGAAGCCTCCGGTGGGCTGAATTCATTAAAATATCGGCTTTATCCCCAGCTCTGGGATGTGGGTTCCAAGGCCTCAGTGTTTCCAGCTCCCCAGGTGCAGGAATGAGGAGGAGCGAGACCCAGGCACTTGACCCAAGCTGCCAACCGGGTTAGTTCATACCATGAACGGCACATTACACAGAAATTACAAAGTTTCCTGAGGAGTTTCTCTCTCTCTCTGTCCCTCGATGGCTGGGATCCTGAGACCACCTTGCCCCGGAGCCCTGAGCCCTCGCAGGGTCCCACACTGGCTGCCCCTGGGGTGGGATGGGGATAGTCCTGGGGGAGTTTATATTGGTATCGGGATCAATACTGGTTCTTTAGTGTTATTAATGTTAATTATCTAGTCTTATTCTATTAAATCTGTTTATATGTCAGCCCCCGGGTTTCCTTTTTTTTTCCCCAATTCCCCTTCCTGGGAGGGGTCATCAGGTGAGAGAATAATTGTCTAAACAACAATAAATTGTTGTGGGTTCCTTAAACCGTGACACCATCCCCTCAGCGAGAGTCCCAGTCTGTGCCTCACCCAGCTCCCACCAGCTTCCCCCGGCCAGGAATTTGGTTAAATTCAGGGGTATTATTCCAATTTCTAAGTGGTGAATCACCCAAATGGCAACTGTGCAGAATAACAGGGCTTTTCCGCCAGGGTTCAGTTTCCAAACACCCGCAACTCTCATTTCTGGTGGTTTTACACCCAAACCCACCCTTCAGCTGAGCCATCCCCACCACGCCGAGGACAGGCTGCCACCCCTGAGGGGACACTCACTAGCAGTGGTTTCTGCTGTCGTTGAGCTGGGCAGAACATCAGAGGGAGAGCTGGTACCTTTGGAAACCTACAGGCAGAATGATTTATTGTCAAACTTGTATTCCTCCTATTACACACCACAAGTGTAGAAATTGGCCCAAAGATTTGCCTGTGGCTGGACCTGTGGCAGAGCCACTCACCCCAGTGAGCAGCCACATCTCAGGGGCCATCAGGAACCAGTGAGTCCACAGGGGTGCTCCCTCGTGTCCCTTCACACCCACCATCCCCTCAGCTCCTTCACGGCTGCTCAGCTCCTCCATGGCTCGTCACACCAACTGTCTCCCAGCTCCTTCATGGCCACTCAGCTCCTCTCCATGTCCCCTCACACCCACTGTCCCCTCAAGCTCCTCCATGTCACCTCGCACCCGCCATCCCCTCAGCTCCTTCATGGCCCCTCAGCTCCTCCATGGCACCTCACACCCCCTGTCCCCTCAGCTCCTCCATGGCCGCTCAGCTCCTCCATGGCACCTCACAGCCACTGTCCCCTCAGCTCCTTCACGGCTGCTCAGCTCCTCCATGGCCCATCATAACAACTGTCTCCCAGCTCCTTCATGGCCGCTCAGCTCCTCCATGGCACCTCACACCCCCTGTCCCCTCAGCTCCTCCATGGCACCTCACAGCCACTGTCCCCTCAGCTCCTTCACGGCTGCTCAGCTCCTCCATGGCCCCTCACACCCACTGTCCCCTCAGCTCCTCCATGGCCCCTCACACCCACTGTCCCCTCAGCTCCTCCATGGCCCCTCACACCCGCCATCCCCTCAGCTGCCCCGTGTCCCCTCACACCCGCCACCGCCCTTTCCCGCCCAGCGCCGCCCAGCCAACCGCCTCCTGCCGGGGACGCCTGCGCGGAGCCCCGCGCTGAGGCCCCCTCTCTGGGGCTGCCCGTCGCTGCCGGCACCGCCGCCGACCCTTCCCGCCCGCCGAGCTCATCCACCGGCCAGCCCCGCGGCCCCTGACCGGCGGCGGCCGGGAGAGCGGGGAGGCGGCCGGGACGGCGGCAGCCCGGCATCGCCTCGGCCGCCTGTGCGCGGGGAGAGCGGGAGGCCCCCGGGCGGCGCCGCCCGCCCCCGATCGGGCGGTTGTCCGGCGGTGGCGGCGGGGCGGGCGGCGATGCGGCTGCAGTGCGAGGTGGAGGTGGTCAGCCGGCTCCTGCCCACCTGCGGGCTGCGGGGCCGCGGCCGCGGTACCAGGGCCCTCCTCTCGCTCGGCCGCC